CTGGGCCTCCCTTCTGAAGCTGCTGCCCCCGCGACCCGACCCCGGATAGGCGAAAGAAAATGGATGGATGGATGGATGGATGGTAACTCCATGTACTGCAGTGACTGACACTGGAAATCCCTTACAGAGCAGCTGGATTTCTGGGAGCTGACTGAAAATGGAGGGAATGGGTGGAAGGTGGAGGACATGCCAGGAGACTGCGGTCATGATTTCTGCAATGAAGAAGTGACTAAATACTTTGCAACCTCCTTTGAGTAAGTTATTGTCACTAGCTTTGTTGCAAAATAAAACCACTCTAAAGTGTATTTTACTCCCACTGTGAAAGGATAACCTGCCCCAAGGCGAAATTTAAAAAATGCCAACAGTGGGGAGTGCCAGGACAGAGGAGGTGCACCGCCTAAAGAGAAAACCAATCTGAGGCTCCCACAACCTCCAGTGAAAAGGAAGACACCAAAATCTACCACTGCAGCTAAACTCAGTGCATTTCTCTGCAGAAAATTAAAATGTAGAAAACCTGTGTTTTAACAGTGAAGTCTTCACTGAGCCTCCGGTGGTTCTCCTCACTGGCATCACGAGACGTCTGCCTCTTATCAGCCATAAAACAAACTTATTTAGATCCTCTTTGTGGTTCAAAGGTGCTGTGTCACTAATAGTTTAGATCAGGAATTAAAAATATGACTCGCGGTCCTGAGATATTTTAATTACACTTTAATGCAATCACAGATTTTTCTTATTCTTTTTTTTCTTTTTGGCTTAAAATGCCTCATAGATTGATTTCATACAGACCTTACCATCTTTCAACTCTTGTGGAGACACTCAGCTGAAGGAGCGAGGCCTGCTGCAGAGTGTTTCCCGTCCGGTTCGACAGGAGCTGCTTGTTAAATTATCACAATGAAGAGCTGATCGAGGACATGTAACTGAAATTCACGGCTTTTGTCAATCACTGCCTTTTTTTAAAAAAATTTCAATGGGAAAAACATTGTAGAAACAGGTACAGTACATGTTATACTAATAATAATCCCATCTCTTTTTTTTTTTTGAACAGCATGAACACACAAAACAAATGAACAGATAAATGTAGACATCCCACCTCTTTCCCCACCCTTTCAGAACAAAGGACACTTTCATTTATCTTACTCTGTAGTATTTTTTAAAAGAATCATTGCCTTTTTTTTCTCCTCCCTCTGTCTCCCTGTGTCGCTCCGATGAATAAACACCTGTTCTTGTTTACCTGCTCTGCTGGACGCTCATGGTTCATGGCTGTGGCAATGATCTATATTATAATATAATAATAAGGTTGATGATGATGATGATTATAATAAAATAATAATAATAGATCATTGGCTGTGAGGCTGTGTGTATGTG